GTTAACCGGGCTCGATGAGAGGAAATCTTAGGCGGAGGAATAGCAGAATGAGTGAAGAAGAGTAATAGAATTTCCACGTCAGTCGAAGGTTGTTATAACTAACCTTTAGCAGAAATGGGAAGGCTTCGAATCTAAGGTTAATTCTTCTCTCTTCTCACACTCCCTCACTCGATTTCTTCTTCTTCTCTTTCCTTCAATCTTTGATTCTTCTCTCCTTTATTTTTACAAATCTCAATCGACTATGGAAGCTTATTAGTAATAGTTAGTTGTTCATTTGGTTTATTTGTAATTCATTTTTTTCCATTTATATTATCAGAAAATTGTCCCAAAAATTCTTCTATTTCATATTTTGTTGACTAATTTCTCAGACCCTTAGCTGGATCATTACAATTGGTATTTGGGCTTCAATCTTGTGACTGTGTGATGGTAATGGTTGAAGGAACTAGGCTAAAAAGTTATGGATGATAAGCTTGTGAGGCACAATGAGGTTTTGAATGAAGTGTTGTCCACTCATGAGGAACTGCGCAACACACAGACTAAAATACATGGGAACCTAGAGTTAATTCTAGACAGGTTGACAATTTTAGAAAGATCTCCTCAACAAGTTCAAGGTGACAGACCTCAAGGAGATGGACTTTTATCCCTCCCAGGTCAGGAATTGAGATAGAACATGCCTCAAGCTATGCAAGCTCCTTCCCCTAAATGGGAGTTGCCTAATTTCGAGGGTCATGAGCCTAAGGCATGGATCCATAAGTGTGAAAGGTGTTTCAATTTGTATAAGACCCCGAACAACTAAAAGGTCGAAGCTGCTACACTCTATCTAAATGGACTAGCTGACACTTGGTACCACTCGTTAGTGTTGAGCAGAGTTGAAGTGAGCTGGGCTAAATTCAAAGAGGAGCTACTTATTCAATTTAGAGAGGAACTAATGGAGTACATAGTTGAAGAATTTAATAAGTTGAGTCAAGTAGGCTTTGTTGATGACATCCTAAGCAAGTTTGAGGACTCGAAAGTCCAAATGCTGGTAAGGATTCCTCTCTTGTTTGAGTCACACTTCATATCTAGTTTTATAGGTGCCTTAAAGGAAGAAATCAGATTTGGTGTGAAATTGTTCAAGCCTACAACTCTGAGATTTGATGTGGAATAAGCTAGGCTATAGGAGAAAGCTATATAAGATGCTTAGAAGAAGAACAAGGGCATCACAAAGCCCTCTTTTGTAGATAGCAGTTCTATTATCATGAGGGCTCCTATTGCAACCACAGTCAAAACCAAACTCCTTCAGGCTTAGCCCTGAGGTTTATGAGTACAGGAAGAGCAATAACTTATATTTTAGGTGTGGTGAAAAGTATGCACCATGCCATTAATGCAAGAAGAAGCAACTGAACTACATGATGGGAGAAGTAGAGCCACTTCCTGAATGTTCTGAGTTAGCAGAGGATCAGCCATGTGCAGACTTGATCATTGAATGAGAGATAGAGTAGGAAGTCATGGAAGCTGTGTTCATAAATGCTCTACCAGAAGGAACACCGGTAGCTTATTTCAGCAAAGTTTTGGCTAAGAAGCACATGGGTAAGTCAATCTATGAGAAAGAGCATCTGGCTTTGTTGAATGCAGTGGACAAATGGAGACACTATTTACTGTACAAGCATTTTATGGTCAGGACTGACCATCATAGCTTGAAATACCTTCTTGAACAAAAGGACACTTCTGCCATACATCAGAAAAGACTAACCAAATTACTTGGGCTGGACTATGAAGTGTAGTACAAGAGATGGACAGAAAATAGGGTAGCTGATGCCCTTTCTTGACAACATGAAGAATCAGAAAGGTAACATAAGTCAACTCTAAGGGAAACTACATGTAATTAGTGTCTTAGTTTGTTCTTGGATGCAGAAGATAGCACATAGTTATGAAGAAGACACTCAAGCTGTAGAATTGATTAGTCAGGCATCAGTGAACATACAAGGACATAGTATCTGGCATTACTCTTTTACCATACTCTGAATGAAGGGCAAAATCTACATTGGGACTATTGGTGGCCTCAAAACTCAACTGATCTCTATATTCCATGATTCCCCTCTAGGTGGACACTCAAGACAACTGGAACTCTAAAGAGGTTGTCACAGATGTTCTACTAGCCTAAGATGAAACAGATGGTCAATAACCTTGTGGCTAGCTGTGACGTTTGCCTTAGGAGCAAGGATGACAATATGGCCTATCTTGGTCTCTTGCAACCTCTCCCTATTCCAAACCAAGCATGGAGCCACATCAGCATGGACTTCATAAAAGGTCTGCCTAAATCCTCTCTTTATATGTAATAATATTATATTTCTTAAAATTTACTTAAAGTATATACATGTGTACATCCAATCTCAAAGAGTCTTATGGTGCAATGATTATTGGATACACCTTTACAAGTGAAGTTGGAATTTCAAATCTCACGTTTGTAGGCAAATCTAGTGTCCCTTCTTGTGCTTTAAATAAGTACTCCTATTTTTTTCTTTTTCTTTCTTTTGTTGTTTCATCTATTAATTCAAAAATCTCAAATCTAACACATTGAAATCCTTATTTTCTCTTTGTATGTGCAAAATCTTTCAAGCATTTGATATGTAGTATAGGTATATCTGTTAAATCCTAAAATTGCAAGAAAATTTAATTTTAACGTATAATTTCTAAATGGTAATGGATTCATGGTAAGAGCTTAAAGGATGAACCAGTCAATTATAATTTCTAAATTTACCTACTTTGTAATAATGCACCCATCTTTTTAAAATTCTCGATCCACCTTTGCCTAGATCATCTAGATATCACTCACAATCATTTTGTTTTTATTTGAGTTCATCACTCTCATATTATCGTCTCAAGGAAAAACATAAACTATTGCTCAATAAACACAATCAATGTGATAATAATACTTAATTATCATTTCTTAATCTTATTTGGTTTTCTGAAAAGTGCCTCCACTATATGGAACTAAACATGGTTTTCTAGGCTATAATTTTAGTTTTAGATCTGCAATTTCAACTTCTTACTCGAAAGTCTAAAGTTAATAATGAGGTAGTTGTTAAGATCAAAATAATCAGATGTCATGCGAAAGCTAGTAAAGCAAACCTTGAACGACGATAAATCTGACAACAAAAGAGAAATATACCAAAAGAGACATAAATATTTAACGTAATTCGGTCAATAGACCTACATTCACAGATGGAGATGTGTAATCTGCTATATAAAAGGGAGTACAAAATATCGAGAGAACAACCTCACAAAGAGGCAAACACAAGTGGTAGGTTAACACTTGTCCCGAAATTCTCCCATATGGCTACATTGTGGATGCACTGAATAAGAAGGAATGATCCACAATATATAGAAGTCCAAACTTTTTACTCCGATAAAAGGGACTAGCCAAATAAGGGAGATTTATAATTCCCTTCTAAAAGAAGTAAAATCCAATTATGGTAAATATATTGCGCTTTACTTCAAGAGATAGAAAAATCAAATATGGTAAAAATTAGGACAAACACCTAACAATTCTCCCATTGGCCTTAATTTCTGACAAAATAAACTCGATTCATTTTCTTCACATAATCTTCAGCATGTCGCATCTCCAAATTCCCACTGCAAAATTTTGTCTTAACATGAGTAGTAATCTGGTCAAATTTCTTAGACAAAGAGTCATGATTACCGTCAAATAGGTTGCGGCTAGAACTAAACCCGCCAAGATGAACCTATCTTGAATCTCGCTCTGATACCACTTGTTAGTATCGAAATAATCAGGTGTCATGCAGAAGATAGTAAAGCAAACCTTGAACGATGATAAATCAGACAATAAAAGAGAAATATACCAAAAGAGACATAAACATTTAACGTGTCAACTGACCCGCGTCCACAAATGGAAATGAGCAATCCACTATATAAAATAGAGTACAAAATATCGAAAGAACAATCTCACGAAGAGGCAAACACAAGTGGCAGGCTAACACTAGTCCCGAAATTCTCCCCCTAAATAAGATTCTCAAACCTCATATGACTACATTGTGGATGCTAGTGAATAAGAAGAAAGTATCCTCAATTTATAGAAGTCCAAACCTTTTCCTCCAAGAAAAGGGTATAGCCAAATAAGAGAGATTTATAATTTCCTTCTAAAAAAAGTAAAACTCAATTATGGTAAATATGTTGCCCTTCAAGAGATAGGAAAATCAAATACGGTGAAAATCAGCACAAACACCTAATAATGGCTACATTTGAAAACTTTAAATTTTATTATTCTTTAAATGGGGGAATCCTAAAGCTATGTGTGTGAAATTGTGAATAAAGATTACTAGCTAGATAGAAGGAATCTCTTTTGATTTTGCTTTTACCTTTTTCTTCTTTTTTATTGTAAACTTATCACCAATTAATTAAATCAAAATTATTAAAAGTAAAACTCAATGTTTTTAGTAATGTCATGAAATCCTAGAAAGGAATATGTAATTACTTATTTGTTGTTGAAGTTTTTAAATTTTCTCAAAAACTACAATTTATTAAATTGAGCTCAATACTCAGATACTAAAGTGAGAAATAAAAAAATATATTAACCCCTAAAAGAGTGTAAAAATTAAGGTAAAAAGCACTCAAGAGTTATAAAGCACTTAAGTATTATAATTCTTTTATTAATATAATAATAATAACAAATATAATGTAATCTCATAAATAAAGTTTGGGAAGAATAATATGTACACGGCCATTCACCTTAGTTCAAGAACACAAAAAAATCGTTTCTAAAAGACCTTTGGCTTAGGAAAATTCTTGATATGTTCTAAAAAAATTCCTATGCGTTTAGCCAGTTGAAGGAAATCTTCGTACTTATCGAATTGAATACTCCAATTACAGCAATTGAATTACTTTTTGTAATTTACCATCGAGACCCCATAAGTATAGCTCCACCTGGTATACATCAGGGCAAAACCGTCCTATAATTCCTTACATATAAATACCCGATCTTTTTTATCTGCGATAAACCTTCACCCAATCAAAGACAAAATCAGCAGAAAACGAAGCAACTGAACCCCACTCGCCGCCGCAGTTTACCGTTACGAGAAAACTCTCCCTCGAAACCGTCGTCAGCTCAACGAATGAAAGAAAGAGAAAAGATAAAACCTTTGAATGCGTAAGTGGTGTCTCCAATGGCTGGTACTGCTTCGTCGCCTGCCCTAAGTAACCACAGCGCCGACAGCGCTCCCTCACCGGCGTCCGCTCCCGCCGCGACCACCGTAACCGCTGCTGTCGTGTCCAGCCATCCGACCATAAACGCGTCGAAGAATCTTCGAGGGCTTAATAAACCTAAGTGCATAAAGTGCGGCAATGTTGCTCGCTCAAGGTGATGTTTTTATTCCATTGAAATTGTGCTTTAGAAACCCTAATTTCCAGTTTTTAATATGGCTTCATAACTTATGTATTATATTAGTGGTAGTGGAGCAAGATATTAAAGTAGTAATTAAAAAGTTGGTTTGATAGAGGGGACTAAATGTTGAACAGTTAGATGATTTTTGAAAATTGTACAGCTTGTATAGAATAATTTTATTAGTGGAATAGTGTTAAATGGTTTAGAATGTTTCAAAGTGGAAAGAGTGTCATATAAATTTAAACGCATGGAGTAGCGATGTGTTGTTAGTAGACAAATTAACACAACTGCTGTTTNAGATAAGGAAAATAATTTGCTTTTGGTATATGTTTGAGTTCAACTTCTTTGTTCAAGTGAACCGTTTGGTCATTCCTTCTCGACATGATTAGTGCTTTTAGATTGCATGTACTTAACGACCAGCTTTAGGCTAGAAGAATGCTGAAATGGAGTGGCCGAGTGGCACTTAGTATTTGATTCAGTTGCAGCTGGCCAAGCTCTAAAGAGAAAGGAAGAATCTTGGTACACGATTGAGAAGAAATATTGGATTTATGCACACTTTATTTAGGACCATTAATTTTATGTGGAAACAATTAAATTAGTGCTTTGTATTTGAAATATACGCTGATTGTTGCTCTACTTTAAACGCTCAATCATTTGGTTTGGTTACTTAAAGAATCCCGAACAAAGGAATCCAAGCATTTGCTGGTTACAAAGCTTCTCAAAATGTAATTTGATTTTTTTAAAAATCTTTTATCACAATTCCATTTTATCCCCATGGATTATACAAAATGAGCTAGAGCTTTTACACAGTGACTTTGTGATGGTGACCTTATACTGCTAGTATGAGAAGTGCTAAGCTTGGATGAGCCTGCAGTCTTAACCTTCTTTCAGAAAAGAGGCCGAAAAATTTGAGCTAGACAATCTGCTGTTGCATTGGTCATCTACTGATGGCTTCACTTGTAGGTGGAAATTTTGACTTTAGAGGGTTCTCTAGGTGTTTCTGGAAGACTGTTTTTAGTTTGGGTGAAGCAATTTATGGTTTTGCTCAGAAAAAAGAAGTTTCAAATAGGGGGAGCACAGCTGTAAGATACTCGTATGGAAGCCAAATTTATTTGATGTGACTGTCTAAATTTTGTTTATCTGATCTTTGAGGACAGAATTGTTTTCCACAAAGACATTTTATTTTGGATTTTAGCTGGATAGGTTATAATTTTAGCCTGTCAGAGATCATTTTGGATTTTGCTTCCTCTTATTAACAACACTGTGCATTACTTATTTGCTTTTATATATAACAGTATCACTTATTTCTTAGTCATCATATTTTACTTATCAAACGAAAAGATGGTTTACTGATGAGTTTTCCCCTCCTTTTCCCATTTTGTTATGGTATATTTGGAGTTTTGTGAAAGGAAGGAAGGTACTTTTTGGTTAGGGAAACATGATCATATAGTGTCAATTCTAGAAATAACACGGAAAAGGAAAAGCATTAATAGACACGTTATTTTTTGTAAAAAAGAATGAAATGAAAGGAAATCGCTGGATCAACTTTTTGTTGGAGCCCATCGAAGGTATATGTTTCTTTTAACAGAAACAAGAAGGAAATATTACTTGCGTTATCAAATGCTTAAATTGAAAGAAAGGTTATAATCATGTAGCATTTTAATGGGTGAATTAACAAAATATATTGCTTTTCCATCCGATTCAATCCTTAAAAGCTCTCGACTTCAGTAGCATAGAATAAGTACGTGTACAGTTTGCAACTTTGCATGTTTTATTTACTCTCAACTTATTGTATCTGTTAAGCAGAAGTACTGGATAGAATTTGAAAGGCTTGACGTATATGCTCACATTACACTTTCATAGAGGTCACACCATCATGGTGTAAGTATGACAATTTTATTGTTTTAGTTTATTGAAAAAGTAAAAACTCTAAAAGATTGTGAAAGGCTCGGATTTGGATCTCCAGCCTGTTTAATTGACAAGAGTAGAGAAAATGAACAAATGTTAAAGTTAAGCTCTCTGGTCAAATGATCATACAAACGTGGATCTCCTTTTCATTCTTAAGTTTGGAAGTTAATATGTATCAAAGTTAACTACCACTTTTTACTTATATAAAATATAAAAAAGAAGTTCGAATATACTTTTTCTTCATTTTGAGTTTTCTCCTCCCCTTCTCGATGGCAGTTCTTTTTGTCAAGAACTGGTGTATTCTCTTTAGCTATCTAGTATGTGCAAAGTAAAATAACGATTTGCTTCTTTAGGGGAATGCCATTCCTTTTTCCCTTCACTTTTTCATGGCTAGCTGTTCTAAAAGTGGCGATGAGAATTCTTTTCGTCAAGAGCTTGTGTGGGTTCTTTAGCTATCTAGTATGTGCAGTGTAAACTAAGAAGTGACTTATTTAAGTACTAAAGAGGAGCTATTTCTGCTTGATCACCCGTTCGATTTTACATTCATTAGGCAAAGACCTTTTGATGAAGCTGCAGTCTTTGGGGTAATAATTTATATAGCGATTAGGTTATCAAAAAATAAATAAATTATATAGCGATTACTCCTCAATTGAAAAGGGACTACTCTTTCGCCTCCTTTCACTTTTGCTAACTGCTTTTACTTTCTTATGGAAAATAAAGACAGAGATGATTAAATTTAAATCTCTCTCCCTTAAAAGCAGGGAAGTTATATTCTGCATTAGTTTTGAAGCCGTTACAAGTCAAAACAGAGACTTGTCGTCATTCGACACCTTAAGTTGTTTTACATTAATGACAAAACCTGATGCATGATATACTCGATATTAGCACCCGGATTGTCAAAACTCGACGTAAGAGAAGTTCATTAACTAATTAATCAAAAAAGGAATATTTCATTAACTATCGTTTGCCATTGTGATACATCTCTAAGGGTAGTTGTAGTGTATGGTGGCTTTAAATGGAGAAAATAGTCTTACATCTTATGTGTCTATTTCCCCTCTTTCCTCCTCTATTCCTCCGCCTCCCTCTCTATCCGTGTCAGAGAACTTTTAAAGAAACAGCGTAAGAAAGAAATGGAGGAAAATATAATTGGTGATGCAGACAGGTGATTCTGTCTAAGCTTCAGATAGCAGTACTCCATCACCTTTTACTATTCTCATATCATTTTATCAGATATTCGGTCATCTGTCGTTTATTTTTAAGACCTAAAACTTCGACTTTACCCGAAGTTTCTGTCTTGCATGATCTACGAATCGTTTGAAGTTACCCTCGTGATTTAAGTTGATCAATTAATCAAAGTAGCATAACTATACCTCATTGATCTCATTCTCATGTCAAAACTTGTTTGGAATTCCTTTAATATACTTAACTTACTTTAAGTTTTTATCCTTTTTTCTTTTCTAAAAAGAGATTTTATCCTATCGTGCTTGTTTATACATTTCTTTTCTCCGCTTTCCCTCTCTTCGTTGTTAGTCTTTCTAATGGATGAGAATCGAATGTGCAGGTGTCCGTTCCAGTCATGCAAAAGCTGCTGTGCGAAAGCGCAAAATCCCTGTCATATACATGGTATGATCAGCTTAAATTTTTTCATAGCTGCTGACAGTATTCCTCAATTCCAGTTAACAAATTGTACATATGCCTTTTTGTTACATACCAGTGAAGAAATTGCTCTTTGCCATAAGTAATACTCCCTCCATTCCAGTTTATGTGAACCTATTTCTTTTTAGGTCCGTTCCAAAAAGAATGACCCCTTTCTAAATTTGGAAACAATTTAGTTCAAACTTCCAATTCTACCCTTAATGAGAAGTTTTTATAACCACACAAATACTTTGGACCCCTTTTTGATATGTTTAAAGGACGCGCAGTGTCTCTGCCACGATTCATCATACTATTAACCCTGTGTTGACATTTGGTGTAAACTTTGTTTTGACATCATTGGGATGTTACATGGTAATGAGCTGCATTTGGATTTTTTGACATTTAACCAATAAGTAGACTTTTCAACTGCCTGGTTCTGAAAATGTTGGAAGAATCAAACATTTAAAAGTCATCGGATGAAAGAGACTGATAGCACAGGGACTTTAATACATCTTCTGTAAGGCAATTACTACTGTGATTCCGTCACTCCTTTGTTGTGCTAAAGAATATGTCTCCTTGATTTGATCTTGTGCAGTTCTGAAAGGTGGTTCAACTCTTCCAGATAAGTTACCATCTTCTGGGTCCCCTGTGGTAGACCAGCAGTCCACTGAAGCATCTCACTCTGGGTAAGTTTTACTCAAGTATGCATGACTACATTTATATATGACAGCTTTAGTGATGAACAGTTGGACTGCCTAATCACTGATGATGTAAAGAGTATATTACAAACATCAGCTGTAGTCAGTTAACAATCCCTCATAAGATATTTGCACTGTCATTAGAAATGTGCTTCTAGGTGCTTTTATCTGGCGTTTTGAAATGATCTCTTCTGCATTTGCATTGCATGTTCTTGGCACTCATATTTTAATATGCTATTTGATTGTTGTGTTACCCTCTGTGGAATAATCTGGGGAGATACTAGGGTTCTATTCACGTGCATTTTCATATATCTTTGCATTCCCCCACACGCACATCTGTTATTCATCAGGCAGAATGGATTGATGATTACTGAGCTTCTTGCTCTTTATTTAGAAGATCTGTATTAACTTCTATTTCCTTTACTCAAGGAGCTCGCACAGAGGAGCTGCTTCACTTCGTCAACTCTCCACCAATTTTGCACAGTTCAATAATTTGCAGACCCCACTAAGATCGAGGAAGCCACTGACCAGAAAGGTATGTGGAGTTCTTGTGTTTTCTCCATGAGCTTATACTTTATTTTTTAGTTTTAAAGGTTAACCTTATTGATAAACTACAGGATGCCCAACTCATTAACGAGTGGAGGTTTATGAAGTTAAAGGAATACAGGGACAGTAATATTGCAGCTGAAAATGAAGCTTTTGATCGCTACATGCAGAATGTTGGTCTATTAGAGGAGGTTTTTGCAGTGAATTCTGCAGAGGATGAGAGGAATGAGGATGGTTCAACAGAAGATGATAATGAGGCAACGATAAACCGGTTGAAGTTACAGCTTAGATCAGATCCAACTAGAATAGAGAATACCAGGAAGAGGATGCAATATATTGTTGATCAGGGATTGAGGAAGCTTAGGAAGTTGGAGTCAGGTGACAATGCTACTGACCTTAGTGATCTGGATGCACTTGGCAAAAAGAAAAAGGCCAAGAGCGCTGAAGCTGAGTGGGTTGTGTCATTCACTGATCTTATCGATAAGTTGAATAAAGCTCGAAATGAGGAAGACCTTAAAGCTTGCTGGGAGATGAAGTCCCAACTGTTTAACCAAAATAAAAAAGAAAAGCAAGCAGAGTCTGATAATGCAGAGGCATCAATTGAGCAGAGTTCAGAAGCTAGTGTCCTGCCAACAATGCCATCGGGTTATTCTCCACCTAAGTGGTTCAGCACATCCACCATTGATGATGAAGAACTTCGTCGACTTAATGCACAGTTTGATTCACTTGAGGATATAGAAGAATTGTAACTTAATGCAATCTTTAGGTCGGATTGTAATTCGTGTAGTCTGTTAGATAGTGGACCAAATTCGTGGTATGATTTATATGATTCTGAATCTAATAGAACTAACCTTTCATGTTGTTATATAGCGACTTGTGAACTGTTGATAAGTTATACTGCCTGGTGCCAAGCTAATGGAGGCCCATTTAACGGCATTGGTTGGAATTCAGTCTTTACCACCTATCTTGTTGGTTTTGGTAAAGTTTTAGGTGGCTGTTTTATTTTGGGGAAGCGCATAATAGCCGTCGCTTTACCCTTATTTAAAGAATCGCCGAAATTTACAATGCTTTTAAAGTTTAGCCATCTTAGAATTAACATTTGGCTGTCAGTTTTGAAGTTGGAAGCATGAGACCTTCAGGTTTGAAGTTAGGGCTCCGCCAAAGTGTAACTTCAAATGTCAAGGCTGAAGTTACAATCTTTAGATCTTAGGTTTGAAATCTGAATGCAGCTCAAAGATATGAAATTTAGGCTCTGACCGAACTTGATTTCAACCAACGGGCTTAAGTTGACTCGAAAATCTGAGGAAGAAGAAAGTTTGCTAAAGCAGGTTAAACTTTAAGTAATTTTTAGAAACTGGATATGTTTTAAATAGGGGTGCTTAAAAGGCTACCTAGTATCATTTCTATCTTTAATTTCAGTGAAAATAGGGCTAACAAGTTTTCGGACTGGTAATTGAAAAATAGCCAACGTTTGCAAAGTCATTGAAAAATAGCCACTATTTTACTGCAACACGAAAAGTTCCAGCATAATATACTGGAGATTAGTGCACATGTGTATGAACTTCCAGCATATTATGCTGGAACTCCAACATACGAAGAGTTACAACATAATATACTGGAGATTAGAGCACCTGTGTATGAATTTCCAGCATATTATGCTGGACTAGTATATTATACTGGAACTCCATTATATTATGCTAGAACTCCAGTATATTATGCTGGAATATTTTTCGGATTTTGAACAGTATTTTCGTTCAGATTTATCTATACATGAAAAGTGGTTAAATTTCGATTACTTTTGAAACTGTGGCTATTTTTACCACTTATAAATCTGGCTATTTTTGAATTTCACCCTTAATTTCATGGTAACTGGACTGAGCTGAACATTAGCCCATATATGAAAGTCCAACTAAATTATATGTTGAACCCTTCTGGGGCTATTCCCAAAATCTAGCAGGCCTTTAACAACTCCATGCCCCAATATGAACAGAATTGTTCTGAACAAACATATTTTCTTAACGCTTTTCTTTTGAGAAGAACATGTAAACATATTTTACAAACTTTGAATTTCATTATTAAAAAAAACTTATACTGTTTATATTTTAGTAATATGTATAGACATAAATGTTTTAGTCACGTCTATTCAAAACTACTCTTTCCGATCGATAATAAGTGACCTTTTAACCTTTTTATTTTGATCCAATATAAGTATCTTTTTTACATAATCAAGAATGAATTAACTATAGTTTTTCAAATTTGTCCCTATTTACATATCACAATGTGTCAAGCTAACAATTTGCGAAATTTAATTAAGGGTAATTTAATCGAAATACTTATTTTTTTTTTGAAGTTTATATTTTGTTAAGGAGTGTGTCAAAGATAAAATAGTCACTTATTTAACATAAGCAGATGTCACCTTAGTCAATCGTCATTCTCCCATTTCTTGTACCAGTAATATTACAAATACTTATATAATAACTACTGATATCATTATTATATCAGTATTATTTAAAGTATATTACTTGCAAATGATGTATTTTTGGAGACTTTTATGTTGTTTTTGAAATTCTTTATGAACTAAATACTTTTTACTAAGATTTAGATGGATCACCTTGTTGATCAACTAGTGTTTTGATTATCATGTTCTCGATTTATTTCTTTTTGAATTTCTGCACCAAATTTGGTTTTCAATATTCTTTTCACATTTCCAAGACCAACTCTTCTTCTTGCACTATCAATTCATAAGATGCCATTTTCTTTAAATGACAAGTCAATTGAGCATCAGTGCCATATTCTAAGCCTTAAAGTTGGTCAGATATCGACCTAATCTGCAACATGCTGTGTACAGAAACAGTGCGTGGTCACATAGAAAATGAATATAAGAAAGTGCGAATTTGGTAAAACTTACAGGAAAACAGTGCATATTTTTTTTTTTAAAGAAAGCAATGAATTGACAAGTATGAATTGATATTAGATTCAAGAAAAAGCACAGAAATATGTGAAAGAAAAATTGGGAGATATGATTTTATTAATAATTTTAAATTTATATAGGTTCATGAGTTACTACAACAACATCATACACAATGTGATGTCATAAATGGGGTATGGTAAGAATAAAGTATATGTAGATCTTATCCCTATCTTGTGTAAGGTAAAAAAGTTATTTTCGTTAAATTCTCAGTTAAAGAAAAACGCTTTTAAAAAAGTTATAGAAAAAGGTTCTTGAGTAACTGATAAAGGAATTTCCCAACAGTAGCTCTCTTGATCTGAATAGCATTTTGATCAGATTCAGACCCATGACCATACAAAAAAATAATAGAGAAATGAATCATCTTCTGATACAAAATAAGTAATAATAATGAGATAGTGGTAGAATCCCAATATGTTCCTCCAAATCATGTGCCCCAAAAAAGTGAGAGGCCAGTCATAAATCTCAATCCTTGGAACAACCAAACAAATAAAAAGGTCATCTTCCTTTGTTTTCATTGAACTCATATTTCTATACATTAGTCCAAAGGAATGGACAGAAAATTAAAGAAAAAGATTAAAGAGAAAGTAAGGAATCCCATACAAAAATCTCATTATGACAAAGAAGTTTCGCATTATTGAAACAATGTCCTTAAAATCATCAAGATTTGTTTGGTCGCTTGCTACTTTCTCCTGTCCAAAATAATTGATGTTTTAGGCTTTGGCACATAAATAAGAAATTCACTTATAAAAATTAAGTGGGGTTTTGACTACAATACCCTTAGAATACATTAAAAACATGTTTTCTATGCATTAAAACTGTACATTGAGTTAAGAATATACAAGGGCAAAGTTGGGGAATAAAATTAAATACAATCTTGGTTTTGTGAAACTTAAAGGTAAGTTCTATAGAGCGGTGGTTAGATCGGCCATGTTGTATAGAGCTGAGTGTTGGCCAGTCAAAAATTCTCATATCCAGAAGATGAAAATAGCCGAAATGAGGATGTTGAGATGGATGTGTGGGCACACTAGGCTGGATAAGATTAGGAATGAAGATATTCGGGAGAGGGTAGGCGTGGCTCCCATGGACGTCAAGATGCGGGAAGCGAGACTTAGATGGTTCGGGCAGGTGCGGAGGAGGATTCTAGAGGCCCCGGTTAGGAGGTGTGAACAGTTGACTTTGACAGGTACGAGAAGAGGTAGAGGGCGACCTAAGAAGTATTGGGGCGAGGTGATCAGGCAAGACATGACGCAACTTCAGATTTCCGAGGACATGGTCCTGGATAGGGAGCTGGGGAGGTCGAGCATTAGGGTTGTAGGTTAGGGGGTAGTTGAGCATTTTTCCAGCTAGTCTGATAGAGTTTGGTCTAGGTCTGCTAGCTGTTGTTGTTCATCACACGATTTTTATTTCCATAATTTATTTTTCAATTTTATTATTGACATACTTATTGCCCTTCCACTAATTTGTTGTCTCTTACGGTGCTGATTCTATTGGTTTGATTTTTGTGTTGTTACAGATCTTTTGTCTCTGAGTCGAGGGTTTTCCGGAAACAGCCTCTCTACCCCCGGCTAGGGATAAGGTCTGCGTACACTCTACCCTCCCCAGACCCCACTAATAAAATTACTACTGGGTTGATGTTATTGTTGTTGTTTGGTTTTGTGAAACGATATTGTTTTGTACTAATTTTTAGAGGTTAAAACATCATTATTTTGGACTGGACATAGTAGATAGCTTAACTGCTTCAATTATTCTTCTGTGTACTTCTGGCTATCAAATGCTTTCAATTTTCAAAGGTTATGCACATCTCAACATCGCCTTTTGCCTTTTTCTTTTCTGGATTCACGCTATATATAGATAGTGTAAAGAATTTTTGTATTATCAATATAATTTAATTGCTCATAATAAGTCATTATCCTGTTTTATAAATTTTTATATAAAATATTTTATAGATCAACTTAACCTGATGATATAAAGAATTTATACACTGTGCACAAAATTTAAACTCTTTATGCTCTAGTTCATTTTCTTTATATTCCACCATTATCATGACCAACTGCTTCAAATTAAACCCTTTCATCTTAATCATAATGATTCTTTCCTTCCCCATTACCATTCATTAATTCGGATAAATTATTTAGCCTACCAAAAGATAAAGTGCTGCCTAGTTAGTTATGCCATAGGAATTGGTTTAATTAGTCTAATTAAATTAGTTAAGTGAAGACTACACGGGAGAACAACTATGATTAATTATGGTGGCGATAAGTCTGAACTATGCAAACACTAATTATTAAGATCACGATTATTTTTAAATAAGAAGATGCATAACCTAATATTGTCAATGGTAATCTAGCTATAAACCCACTGCACTGAGAGCAACTCATGTATAATTTTTTTTTTCAACGGACAAAAGAAAAAAAGGACGTGACAAATAATTAATTAAATTAAATAACGGGAAGTATGGGGAAGGAAGTTTCATAGTTATGGCGATTATCTGATTATTCTTCCCTTTTAGAAAAGTGAGGGCATGTGTATTCTGCAGTGAGGAATCATGTCTAGATATAATTATGGAGTTTGTACAATTTTGGAGTGAATGAATTGATAGCTCTTTATTCAAACAAGTACATCACTTGTTTATTCTCTTTTCCCCTCATAAATATAGATTGCTCAATTATCATAAATCTTAACGCAATGTTTTAGATGTAAAAGGACTTGAGGCTCTACAATTATTCCCTTCCCCGGCCCCTAGATGGCCTCAGCCCATCCCCGCACAAGATCAACTATCACCACTGACACTAAAATTTCCGACCCACCGAATACCAATCCAACTCCGATGGAAGTTGAATCAACTCCAAAAGAAAAGGTTAACACCTTTAAGGAGAGACTATCCGATAAGAACTTGACAAAGTCAAGCACATAAAATTATCAGTACCACCAACTGAAGGCAACTCTAAAATTCACCCCAGACGAC